TCCTCTTCTACAACCCATGGGGGCCGCTGAGTATTAATAAGGCAAGAACTCAATAACTTTTTTATCGTGAATGGTGCCTTTAACGGTGAGGGAGGGGGGAGGGGTCAGGGAACGGAAGTACATTCAGGAGGTTTTAGATCCCTATCTGTGGTCGCTAAAAGCTGACAACTGAGGTATAGACAGCTCAACGAAAATTGGGATCAGACTAGATGATCGTTACCACTTGCAACCTTTCTGCAGCCATTCCACTCCTACGATTGGGAAAGCTTTCTTCTACCTAGAGGAAATCACGCGATTCATGACTATGTTCTTCGCATTGCGCTGTAGAGGATAATCCGACATACTTGGGACACCTTGAGAAGAAATGTTGAAAGATACGTCTTTGCTTCCCACAACAGACGAGATTACTGTAGCAGAAATGCTGGATAACTACCACTACCATCTAGCATCTGTTATATTGGATTTTGGTGCAGTTCCCTGCCTAGAAATAGCAGGATTAAAAGTGGTAGATTGATCATATCACCCTGACATTTTAGGTCAATGAATAGCTGAGAGGACTTGAAATAATGGTCTAGGGATGTCTATCTGCACTGCAGACAGGCATGAACATCATATCAACCGAAATTCAGGGCATCATTCATGGCGTATTGGTGCTTTCTGTATTGCTTCTCGTGCCACTGAACTTTCTATTCGCAACGTTAACAAGTGGAGATTGGAGAAGAGCCACTACTTTCTCTCTGATCTATATGATAGTGAGTTCGTGCTGCCAAGTACTTTCTGGAATAGCTAAAGCTTCTACGTGACATTAGAATCAAATGTAGGCTGATCCTTAAAATTTTTAGAAAAGTCAATAAATTCGTANAACGGTCCACGGAACGCCTCAAAAACCATCGTCCCATCACGACTACCGATTCGAAATGAAATATCATAGTCTAGCACTTGTACTCCTCTCCACGTGACCCACTAATATGACATTTCAATGAACTCTGCTCGATTTCCTAAGTGATCTAACTGTCTCAATAAGCATTGGGTCATTTCCATCGATGAGGTATTTCAGTTGCACAAATTGGTAAGTGCTCGGATAAAAAGGATAAACGTTTGAGATTATTTGAGCTTGTCCCCAATCTCGCCTTATACTTGAAGAGACTGGACCCATTCTAACAGCTGTTTTTGAGGCCAAAATAAAAAAGCAAAGGAGCAACGCAAGATATCAAAGCTTTATGAGATCAGCCAAGACAACAGTTCAATGGAAAATATAAATACATCGTATACATAAATTTGTCTTATAAAGTCATGGCGTGAAGTTTCGTGCATAACGAGTGATACATTCGAGAGGCCAATCGAGAAACGTTGAGTCACTGTCAATGACCGCTCTACATTTTCTGGGAGCTGTAGGCCCTTACTGGACACTTCACTGTTTTACAGTAACCTTTGCCTCGTATCACTGCTCGATCAATACGACTGCAGACCTGCTTCTACGTCTCTACTTTTGCTTTTGCCTTCACAACTGTCACCTCAATTGAAACCCAGCTGTGTCGTTGGGTTTGCTTGATTGTGAGTAAACCAGATATTGACCATTTGATTATGAAACCGATAAGTACAGGAAACCATATGAATACCGTATATATTACCTGCAAATAGTTCATAAAATATCGTAACTGAACTCTAAAGAACTAAAATTGGCAATGATTATGAAACCGATAAGTACAGGAAACCATATGAATACCGTATATATTACCTGCAAATTACCTGCAATATATTACCTAGTTCATAAAATATCGTAACTGAACTCTAAAGAACTAAAATTGGCAACGTGGTTAACAGAGGAATACCAGAAATCAATAGTTAGCGAAGGTTGTGAAGCCAGTATATCGTAAATTCAAGGGGATTGCAAGCAAATAGTACCTAGGCGATTATCTGTTTTGGGGAAGATGAGTTTAGAAGTGTGCATGCTAAATCTACATCAATCACCTGCGAATACTGAAGAAGCTCACCTAGAAAATACTTATTTACCAGGCATCCGTTGATCGTTCAACACGAACACATTACTGAAGCGAAACCGGGCTTAAATGTGCACCAAAACCTGTTTTTTTCCTTCTCTGGGCCGCAACGATGCTCAACAGATGTTATGATGTTTCCAAGCACAATGATGCTCAAGAGATGTTATGATGTTTCCAAGTAATTTATAACTCTGTGTCACCTCTCCAAGATTCTTTTACCTGCTGCTCCCATTATGCAGCTCATTGTGTATAAATATGAGATAAATATGAGAGAAACATGAGTGAACCCTGAGTAGTTCAGTGATTCCTCTAAAGGTGGAATCCGAAGGCACAATGGGCTTCTATAATAGTAACACTAGCTTCTGTCGTGAGGTAGAAGTACGCCACGGAGTGGACGTAAGGAAATCCATACAACGTTTTGGATGAAAGTCTTATGAATACGATAGCTTGGAAATTTAAGTGGGATGGAGCCTCAATTTAGAATAAACACAACAAAAAAAGTGGTGCTCTCACCAATTACAAAAAAGTCATAACTGACCACCATGTATATCCCAACGACTTCATCCACAGTATTTTTGCTAAAACGAAATAACGAAGCCATGAGAGATAAAAACGGTCCGACACCGACTATTACCAATGCGAAAATTTGCACAAAAATCTGAAATGTTCATTCTTGTAGTCAACTCAGGTAGAAAGCTATTTTCTAACAGCACTTTCATTCTTTAAAAGACACATCATAAATCACAATGAATTAATCAAATGCGGGTCGGTCTTTGTTTTGGGTACAGTCCACGACGGGCAAAACTGCGAACTGCAATAATGTGACGCGATATCATTAGAATTTTCCAATTCAGGTTGTTTTTCATGAGTCTACACATGTACGGCTTCATCTGTTCATAAGGGGTGCCCTTTCGTTTCGCGCGTCCATCGAACCTAGATCACGCCGCAGCGTCACACGCGCCAGCTCGCTTAGTGAACGTCGCAGCTATCAGTGGAGCATACGACCTGCGCTTGATCCATGGCTTTCAGTCCGAACAGAAGATAACAACTGACACTTACCAATTAGTGGTACTGTAATGTCATACCGAGATTACATTGGGCTCCGCCGCGCGCGACGGTGGGGTGACCTAGTTTCGCGGACGCGCGAATCAGACGTCTCCGCTCACAAGTCTCACACTTTGCCACTCCTGTTTTTGAGAAAATAGGACCACAGCGAAAACTGCAATATCGATTTTTAAAGCCATATAACTCAATAACATAAGCGAATGTACGCCTGACCGGTGCAATACCGTTTCCTCTCTCAGCTTGAGAAGGTAAATTAGCATAAAGGCACAGTTCACGATAAAAATGATGTTTCAGGCACCATTAAAATACATTACGTTAGGGGAGAGACGTTCTAAGGTAAAACGTATTCGTATTCAGCTAAGCAATGTTAATTCATTCATTGATTCATTTCGTAAACAAACTATCCACGTAGACGGAATCCTACGATTCAAAAGAAAGGCCATTTGCGAACACAACATATCAAACTCATGAGTATAACAAAACTATAACCAACAAGACTACAAATTAATACCATGAGAATTGAAAAAATAAGAGGAGGCCATATAAAAAATAACAACGGAACTCCAACCAGGAAGCATACAGTCCTATCTGCATGTGAAGCCTTGATGGCCAGCCCTTTGAAGGAGTTAAGAAAGAGGCGCATGATGTCATCGCGTAACATTTAGTTTCAAAGAAGTATAACTCGTGAGAAAAAATATTTGGAACGAACCTGTGTTCACGCCACTGGGATTTTGATTTAATAGCAGGACCTCTAAATCTGGATGTAACTAGTTCAAAAAAATTGACTGAGTCTACGCGGACCATAACTGTAGCCACATCAGGAAATTAAACGGCATCAGGAGATCTCTAAGCTTTCTTCTCATCAGCGGAGTAGTAAGAGAAAAGACGCGGCGTCGTTCAGTACTATGAGGAATATATTCATAAATCAGCCCAGAACAGTGCATAGCAAGTTTGCGCGTAATGCTATTCTGGACACTTCTCAGTAAACGTATATCCTTTTCCGGTGAAAATGTAGTTGGGGGGGGGGCACCCATCCGAAGGTC